TATTTTTAAAATTTTAAGAACAAATTAAAACTTTTAGCACATGCATATTTGTTCTTTTATTTTATTTTATTTTTGATTAATTAATTAACGAAAATGTAAAATATAGAATTTGTTAAATAATTATTTTAGGCAATTAATTCTATGAAACAATTATTTATGCGTTCATTTGATAGTTAACATTATTGGTTGTTATGTTTTCATGTTTTCAAGTTTTTAGTGCTGCTTCCTATTTATCAATAATAATCGAAAATTCCTTATTTCTTTTAAATTCCCGCTTTCATTAAATTTTATTAATTAAATTAATTCATTATCATAAACAAATTTTGCATATGAAGATACAAATAATTTATCTGAAAAAAGCATTCCTGAAATATTTTCAAAATTTCATCAACAAATTAAAAAAATTTTTTCCTACATGCATATTTGTTATAATTAAAGAAAATATAATTTATATATATATAAATTAAATAATTAAAGGAAAATTTAAAATATAGAATTTGTTGTTTTATTTATTACCAAATGCATATTTGTTGTTTTGATTTTATTTTTAAATAATTAAAGGAAATTACCATTACCGTAATTGTTGTTTTATTTCATTTAATTTTTTGGATAATTAAAGAAAACTTAAAATATAGAATTTGTTATTTTCTTTATTGCTTTTTTATTTTTATTTGTTTTTATTTATTATTTATTATTTTATTTATTGTTTATTATTTACTATTTTATTTCTATTATATATATTTTTATTTAGTTTTATTTATTACGAAGGTATTGACAATTTATTGATAAAAAATTACCTGAAATATTTTTCGGAATTTTATGAATGAAAAGAAAACAAGTTTGATGAAATAAAATTACTGAATAAAATTGATTTGTTCAATTATAAATTTCCTACAACAATAAATTCTAGGAATTTAAAAACAGATTAATTCCATATGCAACTTTATATATTGCCTTTAGCAATCTTCTGTTATTTACATATTTATTTATTTAAAAACAACTTTATTCGATAAATGTATTTATATTAACATTTCTATATGATTTGTTTACACTTATTTGTTTATATAATTTATTTCAATTAAAATTTATTCGATATATGTATTTATATTGCATTAATTCAATCACTCAAATAATCTTATTTATATTGCAATAAATAATTTATTATTTGTATTTAAAAAAACATTTGGAATAAACGATCATTTCTTTTCATTTTTTATCTTCGCATAAATTTAGCACTTCTTTAATTAATTAATTAATTAATTAAGATATGGGTGTATTTTTTAAATATAAATTACAACTACAATAATATCAAAAATAATAATAAATTAAGAATGAAGTGATGAAATCATCGAACCAATGATTTTTGTTGTTTGTCTTCTTTTTTCTTCGCATGAATTTAGCACTTCTTTAATTAATTAATTAATTAATTAAAATATGAATATATTTTTTAAATGTAAATTACAACTGCAGTAATATCAAAAATAATAATAAATTAAGAATGAAGTGATGATCATCGAACCAATGATTTTTGTTATTTGTTATTTGGTGCTATAATGATGGATGTGTTACATACAACAATAAATCATTTATTTTACATACTGAAAATAACTTAACTACTCAAATAATCTTATTTATATGACATATAATAAAATACGTACTCGAGATTTATTAATTATACCTTTAATCTTATTTATATTATATGTAATAATACATGTACTCGAGAATTATTATCTCTTTAATCTTATTTATATCATATGTAATAATATATGTACTGGAGAATTATTAACTATCTCTTAAGATTTTCGAGTGATTTTTTGTTCTTTTTTTCATTTTGCAAATATTAAACTTGGTATGGTCACCTTTCTTTCATGATAACCGCATGATTTATACAGGTATCACCGCATGATTCATTAATCTTATTTATATCATATGGTGTCATATAAATTAAATATATTTCATTGTTGGAGGTGTCATATAAATTAAATATATTTCATTGTTGGAGGTGTCATATAAATTAATAATATTTTATTGTTGTCTCTTAGAATCATTGAGAAATTCTTTCCATTCACTTTGCATAAATTATACCCATTAATATATCCCTTTAAAATAATGATATAAAGTTATACATAATGCAGTATATGTTATGATAACATTTTAATATGAAATATCTGAATTGAATAAAATTTAAAAAGAAAAAAAATTTCAACCTTAAAATTATTGTAAACTTTCATGGCTGTTCTTTTGTATTGTAAATAATTCAACAAAACGAAATAATAAATTTCTTTTCATATATTTTTTGTCAGTTGGAAATAAACATCTGCAAGTATGTATGTATATGTGTGTGTGTGTGTGTGTGTGTGTGTGTGTGTGTGTGTGTATGTGTATGTATTAATTTACATTTTAAAACGACAAAATATCTTCTTATATGTTTGTCTGTTGAAAATGAACATCTGCAAGTATATGTGTATGTATGTGTGTATGTGTATGTGCATATATTAATTTACATTTTAAAACGACAAAATACCTTTTTAAATGTTTGTCTGTTGGAAATGAACATCTGCAAATATGTATGTGTGTATGTGTGTGTATGTGTGCATATGTGTGTATGTGCCTGTATGTAAGTGTCTGTGTATGTGTGTGTATGTATTAATTTACATTTTAAAACGACAAAATACCTTTTGTATGTGTATGTATGTGTGTGTATGTGTGATATGTGTATGTATACGTATTAATTTACATTTTAAAACGACCAAAATACCTTTTTATATGTTTGTCTGTTAAAAACCAGTATCTGCACGTGTATGTGTATGTATGTGTGTGTATGTGTGTATGTGTGTGTATCCATTTACATTTTGAAAAAGAAAAACAAAACGACAAAAATTAAAAGATTATTTCATTTATCGAATAATGCCTCTCATTTCTACTACATTTTTCCTACAGCTATTCTATTCATATTTCATACTATCGTCACAACTCTCAAATTTATTTCATCTTTTTCTGCGACAGTTTTTTATAAAACTTATTTTTTCCTTTTGATATAATTCAAATGAATGGCAATATTTTCGTTGTAATCGAATATGATAGTTACCAGCGCTTTTTATTATTATTATTCATATTATTTTATCATTGTTTGCACATATTCATATATCCATTTCATTTCAATTAAATTAAAAAAATTTTTTTTGCAAAAACTTTTAATGCTTGAATATCATTTTTCTAATTTAATGTTTCATTAGAGAATTATTGCTAATTGTTGATGCAGAAAATTGTCAAATAATTAGATTAATTTTAGATTTTTATTAGATTAATTTTAGACTTTTTCATTTTCATCAAGAAAATGCCAAATAATTATCTTAAATAATTAGATTAATAATTAGTTTGATTTAATTAGTTTGATTAATTAGTTTGATTTTATTAATTCAATTAAAATATTTCATAACGATTATTTATTTTTGTATTATAAATAACTTAAAAAAAAAATTCTTTTAAATTTTTCAATTCAGATCATAATTTTTTTCTTCCCTCTCATTTTAAGCGAATTATTTCAATTTTTCAATATAATATAACCAGAATTGAAGCTAAACATTTCTATTTAAAACTGAAATCAACCATTGATAATTAAATTAAATTTAAAATTTGAAATCTATTTATCTATTTTCCGTCTAAAAAAACCATCTGAAAGCGAAAAACGGAAATATATCTATATAATATATCGAAAATATATCTAAAAAAAAGAAAGAGTTGTGTAGCATTAAGTTGATTTTCTTTTAATTTTCAACAGAAGACCATTTATCTTCTTCGTCTGTAAAACAATCTAATTGAGTTTGGAATTATGAATTATATAATCGAATTTTAAAATAATCAAATAGACCAGACCGTAAGAAATGTTTGAATGAAATAACATCGAGAAGAGAATAAACTTTACACTGATAGCGCTGAAATTCAAATCCTACTATTGAAATGATTAAATTAAATTGAAAAATTTTGCACTCTTTTTTTATTTATAAAGTAAGATAATCCGTTGCATATCCGTTGCATATGTTGACAAACATTAATATAAAAGCTGATAAAAGTGCGAGAAGTTGCCGCTGAGGAGATATCGTAGTAGTTTAAGAGGTATTGGAGATTGGTAAAGTTTGCGAGATAGTGTGCTCAATCAGTTGGAAGGATGAATAGTAGAAAGAATGATGTGTGAAATGTTGATAAGAATTGAGAGGAGAATGATGACATGAGATTTGAACGCATTATCGAAATAGCTAAAATTAGATTGAAAATAATATGATTAATGATATGATAGTGATTGAGATCATTTAAGTCGTTATAGTAGAAATTTAAAAAGCTATGTCATTTGAATTTATATATTATGTAAAATTAAAATTTTAATTGTTTAAATTTATTTATTACAAATGACTTATTTCGTGCAAAAGCAAATTGGTTTATTTTTATTTTAATTTATTTCCAAATTATTTTAATTGTACTTCATGTGTATTATTTTACTTTGTTTCACGTGTTGCCTTTATTATTCTCTTTTTTGTTTACATAATTAGATTCACGTATTTGATCATTCAAGTATTTTCAAATTGACTTTAAGTTAAATTAAATTTCAGCATAGAAAAAAAAAGGTTGGTAGTGAGAGGCATTTAACTTTTTATAAATTTTAGCCAATTTTTGTTAAGTCAAAAAAGTTTCACTGAATTAAGGCCTATTAGAAGTTAACGAACAAATTAATAACTGGCTAATAAATTTATCAAATAATTAGTAGGCAAAAGTTGACTAAGTGAATTACTTGTAAGAGTTGATTTTGTGGTACCAGCTGAATCCTTATCGCTGTTGTTGCTATCTTTTTATTGTTCGCATCAAGTCGTAACATTAAATAATTCATAAGTTGCTGTTGAGTGACTGTTACTGGCTGCAGACAATTGCCATCGCTATTTCCCATGTTCATTCAAGCTTAAACGGTTTGAGTTCTCATCCTCGTGCGAACATTCATCATATCTTGAATGGCTGATGAATGTGATGATGAAGATGGTTTCGCTTGTGATTGTATTGTAGCTCAGCTCTATGAATCATTACCTGGTTCACCAAGTCATAAAAGTTTGTTTCTTATATAATTATTAAGATGAAATTTATGAAACAGAAGGTATGATGAGCAATAAATAGGAAAACAGCAATTTAAAGCTAAACTGAGTCATGGAAGATGGATTCATTGAAGTGCCTCGATGGCCAATAGGTAGTCTGTTTTTTCGATGAAGAGCTTACTTATACCCAACAATATTTGGTTTGTTTTTAAGCTGATAGCTCTCACAAATTTGTTTATTACTGGAGGATTTTAGGGTTTTGGTGTCTTTCTATGTTTCTCTCCTCTTTTTTGTTTTTTCATAGAAGCACTGAATTACTTTAGCAGTCCTACGAAATAATTTAGCGATCATTTTATTTTACTTCCTTCCAACGATTTTTTGTAAACTTCAATAACTAAAATACATATAACATACTAGATTTTGACCAGTTTTAATATTGTTTTAGTTGGTGTTATACCATACCTGTCGACACACGAGACTCAAGATCAAGCAAGATGCCGTGGTTATTGGATTCGCGGTCTTCCGGTAAAAGCTCGAATAACCGATGTAAAACGAGATCAGAAATTCGGATTGCATCTCATAAATGCTTATTTGTAAGATTTCAGTTTTAAGTAATATGTATGGAGCATACTCTCTCAGTTAGTGGACAATTTGTTTCACCCTGGCTTTGCAACGCTTCAGAAAATACTCCTTCAGAAAGAATTCATTATTTTAATCGATTGTTTGTCACACTGTGTTTTGCATCTTTTGTACTATGCAAGACATATATGAGCTTCGTTTATATAAGACAATGGATATTTGTACTGGAAGGAATAGAATAAGTAAATGAACACTCCAAAGGGTAAGCTATTACCATAAGAAGTGTTTAGTTTTTGTGTATAATTATGGTATCATTAACTTTTAATGTAATATATTTTATATTTCATTAACTTTTAATGTAATATATTTTATATTATATATATATAATATATATTACATAAAAAAAAAGGTAATTTGTTTTTTCATATTAAATCTATATCAGTGATTTACATTTATATAAACTCAGTGATGACAAGAATTTGAATGCCTCCAAATACATTTAGTAATGCTATAAATTGAACTGAAAGATAAACATCGTGATAAGAAATAGCTTTTTCATTAGATATGTGATTGAATTGGAACATGGGCCGTTTCGGTGGAAAGTTGTTAAGCAAAATAAAGATTTTGCTGTACTTGCTGCTCGGTTACTCACGCATCGTGCTGCAGAACGAATACGAGCTCCAGTTAGGAGGTGAGTTTTTTTCCTATTTAGGTAATTACTGGTAAAATCTTTTTCTTTTTTTAGATAACGAATGGCTAACAATAGCCTTTAGTTATCATAACTTCATTTGATAGCGTAATAATACCTGGTTGACTCCCGAATTCTAGAAGGAGATACCAGCAGCGAAATTCCGAAACGGCGGCCGAAACATGTGAACTAAATACATCCAAATATATTTTTTGTTAACTGCAAGCGATGCAGAAAATTTAAAAATAGATACACAAATTTTTAATGCCAAGGATTTGATGAACCGTTTAAATGACAAACATATTAGATGTAGGTAATCTTTGTCACTAATATTTGAAGTCCGTCCTATTCTACAAATGTGTTATTGCTTCTGATTAGAAGAGTGATTGAATAAGAGAAACCGGATCGGGTAAGAAGCAAAAGCCAAAATCACACGGAAAGTGGTGGAATAATTTTGCATTTCTAAAGTCTGTTTTCAATTTTGATGGTAGAATTGACCTTGATTCGAAAAACACGTATATCAGCGTCTTTGCTAAACTTTCGACTTCGAACATTTTAACTCATTTCACCGCAATAACTAGCTAAATCAATCTTTTACAGTATAATAGCGGAGGCCATAATTTTCTAATTGAAAAATTATTGCCAATGAAACAGTTATCAATAATAATAATAAGAATGGAAATTATTAATTCAGGCTACGATATGGAAAAGAATTGTAATTATTCATAATAGTGTTATTCCTGTGCTTCTTCTATCGTAAACATGTTTTATTAGCCTAAGCTTTTAACTCTTTCATGCATGTTTTTTTCTGCATATAAAATATCATCTCTTTGTGATGTGATATTGCAGCTCATATGTTAGAAAAAATTCAATTTTCCAAATAAATAGTTTTAGAGAATTTTTTCCTCTGATTTTTTTCTCTATTTCTTTTTTCCTGCATGTAAAATATCATCTTTATTTTATTGCAATGAAAGTCTGATCAAATTATAATAATTAGAGAAAAATTATCTTCCAATTTTTCTAAGTATTTTATTTGCTAGTAGCATCTAATTGTTGTTATGCGCATTGAGATTATTATCAAACATTTGCTTTTTTTGAGTTTTTGTTTTGTATTTTTATTGTTATCCATAAGATTGATGGATTAACTACGTACAAATCGGTCTCTGGCTGTTATCGGTAATTATTAAGTAATCTAAATTCTTGCAAACAGCAATGAAAAACAAAACTGTGCATGTTTATGTTTGTGTAGGTGGCAAAGTATGTAGTGATAGTTGTCTTCATTTTATTTTAGATCAGTTTGTGATGAATTTTCATGATTTTTTGTGTTGCAGAGCACAAGAAGTCATAGATGATGCGCTTGAGTCGGTTGGCGTTGATATAATACCGGACCACGAAGATAATTGTCCATATCATAAGACAGCGAGAAGCCAAAAGGTTATTTGTGGAATGCGAGAAATTAGATTGTAATATTTCTTTGTAAAGATTTCACATATGAATTCATTTTCAGACCTGTGATTTGAATAAGTCTAGCAATCTTGATAATATACATCAAAGTGGCACTACGGAAAAAGAGACTAATGCTAAGCAACATCTGGTTGTCACTGATGTCACCGGAACTGCTTCAGTTCCTACACTGAATGGTTCATTTAGTTCACTTTTAACAGTGCTGTTTATATTCACTTTGTTAGTCTTGTTGCTCAAAACTGGATTTAACTAGAAATTAAAGTCAATTTCGAGTTATAAGATAAAAAATGATCAATGTCTGCAATGTCTAAGCATTGGCATCCTCTAACTATCAAAAGAGTGATTAAATAGATCTAGCGACACGATTTATATTCTTCCTAAGAGGAATAGTTATATCATATCAGACATGAAATCAGATTTTTTTTTATTGAAGAAAATATTGCGCTGAACCAATAGCAGAAGTTATGGCAGTAATTACAGATTAAATATCTCACTATGTTTAATTCTATTGCTTACTGATAATTTTTAACAATTTAAATTCTTCAGTGTTACTTCCAACAAGAGAGGATCTTTTGGAACGAAAAAATGTACAGTCAAGTGAAGTAAAGCGGCATCAGCTGCCATATCTTGGTTTCGTTCCGGATGCAGTTATTGATCCAAACGAACGTCGGGTATGTTAACAATAGATTCATTAATGCTGATTACGCGCTCGATTGTCCTGTTTTAACTTGTCTTTTTTTGGAAGCATTTAGTCAGTTTAGTGATAATATCAGAATCTTAGGGTATTCAGTGCAATGCAGGTCAGATATAACCGAAAAAACAGCTTACAATCGCAAATTTTTTATTGGCAGTTTGCTATTTCAGCTGTTTGGTGCTTGATCTTTTGATTCAATCTTTCTAGTAGTTAAAGTAAGTTGATGCCAATTTTATTAATGAGGTTTGTCAGCTATTGTTACTATGGTAAAAATTTTTTCGTGTGCTTTCGTTATTTTTCTAAAGCTTATTATCACTTTTCAGCAAAGATTGGAGAAGTGGCTTCAAGCAGTGTTGCATATACCTGTGAACAGAAATTATCATGAAACAGTTAGTTTATTTAAGAAATATATATTTTGAAAATCAAAATCTAAGTTGTCGAGTCACCAAGATTGTCTGATGTTCCAGTTCAACGCCTTAGAAATCTGTCCTTTGCTTGACATACAGCCTTATTAACTTTATACTAACACAATTTTTTAAATTGCTTGAAAGTAAGAGACATATATTTCCAGCTGCCTTTTCTCTATGGAGATCTCAAAATCTATTTCTTAATCCTAAACTTTAGTAACATTAAGATATTCTAACCGAATATATAAGCGTAGTGCAGATTGCAGTTTTACAAGATCAACAAATGTATGTCGTAATTTGTCTTATTTAATTTTTTAACAGGCAGAATTTTTGGAGGTGTCGCGTTTTTCATTTGTATCTGAATTGGGTGGTAAATACTGCGAAGGTTTTGTAAAAAAGCGTCCTGGTGGTAGTAGAGTTTTTATCGGTTGGAAACAATGTTGTGTCCGTTATTGTCTGAGATGGTCGAGACGGTGGCTTATTTTAAAAGTAATTTCACAATTGCCTCCATTTTCTTTTTTCACTTCGAAAGAAAAAAGATTAAGGGACGAGAATTTTTCATCTACTTTTTTATACCAACACTATCGTTAATTCAGGATTCATCTGTTTGGTATATGAATCCAAGAACTGAACAGGTACGTTTAGTTCTTTTATTTGATCGCGACTTCGATGTTTCTGCTGGAAGTAGTGAAGCAGAAGGAATGCCGAATGGTTTGATTATCAGCAATCAGCAATAGTGAGTTCACTGTTTTACTAGTGATATAGTTTCAAGAACAGTAGATATTCTGAAATCGTCAGTGATATGAAATTGATGCTAATGGATGATTTTGATAGTGAATAGTGGATGATTTTGATGTGAAATTGGTGCTAGCGACTAGTGAAAGATTTTTCGCAGGCTTTAATGGTAAAAATCGTCTTTTTTTCCTGCATGATGTGGCGTGAAATAATATTTTTAATGTAAAATAAAGACAGCGAGCATGTCAGTGGTAATCGTAATTTGCATCCTTGAAATGCTAGTGTTAAAAATATTGCCTATCTTATTTAATTTAATTTCAAATTCCAACTTTTAGTGTATTGACACTGAAATGTCGAACACCATTAGATGCGATACAATGGAAGGCAGCAATATTAGAATCAATGAGTAGTGTTGGAAGGATTTGGCTAGAAAACCATCCTTACGGGTCAACATTTCCGGTACGGCGTGCACAGAGTATTCAATGGTTCGCCAAAATTTTTTTCATGTCAATGAAATAAAATTTGCTACGGATTGTTGATTAATTATTAATGGATTTTTTTTTTCGAATATTCTTTTTTTTGTAGGTTTGTTGATGGACGATCGTTTATGGAACATGCGGCAAATATGATGGAATTAGCACGCGAGGAAATTTTCATTGCAGACTGGTGGCTATCACCTGAGATTTTTATGAAAAGACCACCAGTGGAGGGAAATCGTTGGAGGCTTGATGAAATTTTAAAGGTTTGTTTATACGATTTTGTTGCATCAGAAATTGAACGATAATAAAAAAGAAAGTTTCAGAACTGCAATATATTGGGAATCATTAAATAATATTGGAAATTCATTAATTAAATGATTTAAATTTGCTGAATCTGAAATATGTTGTTTTTATGATGGTGAAGGAAAAAATGTGATTTATTTTGGCTTAGTTTTTACTATTGCATTTTTTTTTTTGATTTTAGTTTATGCGACTGTTGTAATTTCAGAGGAAGGCGGAACAAGGAGTCAGAATATTTGTTCTCCTGTACAAGGAAATGGAAATGGCCCTAGGAATTAATAGCATATACACTAAGCGAACTCTGCAAACGCTTCATAAAAATATTAAGGCATTAAGCTAAACATTTTATTTAAGGAGCTCTCAATAGTTACATCGTTTATTTTGTAATATCTTTACATGGATACACTCAGTTTGCTTTTGCATTTAATTCAATGTATGAGGAAAATGAAAGTTAAAAGCGAGAATTTCGCACCAATTAGCCATGAAGATACTTTGAGAAAGAGTGAACTTTAGAAAAAAATCAATTATGCTATTTTGGTATTTAGGTGCTTCGCCATCCAGATCATTATCTTTCATCGGGTACATTTTTCTGGGCTCATCACGAAAAGCTAATCGTTATTGATCAGTTGATAGCATTTGTTGGCGGTATCGATTTGTGTTTCGGTCGTTGGGATGACTGCCGCCATAAATTGACTGATTGCGGTTCAGTGAAGATTTCCGAACATCAAAATATCTGTGTAGGTGGTAACTTTTCCATGGTTCGTTTTAGTCTGAACCAGTTTTTTTGTTGTAATAATTAAGAAAAAATGCAGCTTATAGTTCTAGAGCGCTCATCTTCAGACGAAATGTTAAACTGATCTCAAAGAGGGCTTTGATTTGTTTATGGTAATTGTGAGTGATTTATTAGTTAAGATATTCGAATTTAACTTGCAATCATTTCGGGATTAAAGGTCACCGCCGAAGACCGAATGAATCATTACTGCTTAGCAGTACGAAGGTTCTGAAATCTTGAGCTGTCGACACACTATATGAACCTTATGGAGGGTCTATTTTTCGGGTATGAATAAATTGAACGAAATATGAAACTTGTCAAATTTAGCAATTTAACTTTAGGATGGACTTTCCCGAAGGGTGGAGAAAATGAAGTGTTTTATTGCAGGTGAAAAGTGTAAGACAGATTGTAAGAGCAGCTGGAGTACTCTCACCCATTGGACTCGAGGAAGATGAAGAGGTGGCAAAAAAAAGTGACGGGTACGATGAAGTTGATAGCTCGGGCAATTTAGGAAACGAAAAAGTAGGAAATGGAAAAAACTCCAAACCAAAGAGCGTGCGAAAATATTCAACTTTTTCTAAACGAAAACAACTCAAGAAAGGTGAAGATAATGAAGGTAAATAGTTTGCCCAAAAGAAAACGAATAAAACAAAGCAGCTGGTTGTGGAAATTTCTAGTTACTCCTCTTTTATCACTTCTTTATTCATCCATTCATATTTCATTCATTACTATTTGCTTCCCTTCATTTGATTTTTGTAATTCTTTTACTTTGTTATAACTACCGTTTCTGCTGTATGTGTAAAATTTAGTTGCATTTTTGAAAAGCATGAATATTCTCTTGTAATTAGTATGCTTGATAGATTTTTTGTGTTATTTGTTATGCATGCAATTGTCTTATTATTATTACATCTGAATTTTATTTGTTTGGAAGTGTTTTTCTTGGTTTTTATTTAGTTTTTCAAAATTTTCGAACTTTCAATAACTCATCAAAATCTTAGGATTATTTTGGCACAGAGATTTTCCATCTTTATGTTGGAGATTAAGGTTAACTAGCGTTAATGTAAGTTTGGTTTTCTTGTTCGTGACAGCCTTTATTGGCTTAGGTTACTTTTTCACAGAGACATCGAACAAAGTTAATAAAACAGTGAAGTTCATTGGTGTAAATTCTGGTAATAATGATTGCCTGCAAAGACTAATTTACTGCTGATTGTTTAGGAGAACATGCAATTCCGCAGAAGTTAGTAGAACACAAACGTGTTCTTCTATCAGTGGTTAAACATAAGCAAACCGTGAAAAGGAGGTCAAAATCGATATCTTCGGCACCACCCATTGAAATGCTAAATATGAGTGCGGAAAGAATGGATATCCATGATGCTATGAATGAATATAAGGTACTTACTTCGGAATATTTTAACTTCGAATTTCGGGAAAAATTTGACAGTAGACATGACTTCCACTTTGATATGTTTCCTCACTCTGCGTGTGTACTATTATTATATTAAAAGTTGTAGCTGGGTGTTTCACGTAAGGCTTGAAAAAGGGAAATAATTATCAGCTTAATTCCTCACATATTTTGGCTTTATATAAGTATCACTCAAAGGGAGCAAGCACTATTTTCGATGTCACACGTAAGTTTCGCTAAGAAATGCAAATACAAGTAAAGATTTACGTAAGCTTCATTTCATATTAGGCATTAGTTAGATTTGATCAATACGTATATGTATATATGTACTGTAATATAAAGATAAAGTTATGTTTTTTCTCAGGCCTATGTACGTAGTGGAAAAGCAGAAGAGGTGAAACATAATGCTGAGAAGAAATCAACACCTCCACCACAACGAAAGATATTATCGAAAGTAGCATATAGTTTCAAACCATCATCGGCCAAAAAACACTGGCAAAAAGTTAAGCAGGAAACGACTCGATATGATCTTAGGTAATTTTTAAGTAGTTTCAAGTCCAGCCAATTGTAATTTTTATGTAGATTAGTGCAAATTATTGATCAAAGTTTCTAATTAATTATTAGTTTATCAATTGAAATTGTGCGCAAAATAATAACATTTGCAGATATATGGAACTGCGCGATCAAGACGAGAAAATTCGTGCTATGGAAGAACATATGGTAGGTGCTGGAAAATTATGGATTGGAAAAGACTACACAAATTTCATTCATAAGGATTTTGTTGAACTCGATATGCCATTCCATGGTATGTTGATATTTTGTGTTAAAAACAACTACTTCGAAGATAAGGTTTCCACTTATTTCCTTTCATATAAATCCTAAGAAAGTATAGCAGGTTCGAACTTAGCTCTATATTTTGGTGAAGCGCAGCCATGTTACCGAAACTAACCGTGAATAAATTTTGCGATAGCGATTCATAAATGCCAGTTGCCAAATCGATCCATTAGTCAAATTATTGCTTCACGATGGAATATTTAAATTGGATTTTTGGAGTGGTTCTCTTATCAGACTCAAAAAAATTGATTTGAAAGATTTGAAAATAATTGAAATTCGAAAGTTATGTGGTGATTTCAAAAGAAATAAAATTAATCTATTGATTTTCTGGTTGAAACCAAGTATAACTTCTCTGGTAATCCAGTTTTGAACAACTTTGAAATTGACATATAGCTGGGTACTTAATAACTGATATAATACTAAGTCGCTAGCTAACTGGTTCTTAAATTATTAAATCACCTGCGAACTAAGCAGTTAATGAATCACTAAACGCATGATACTGCGTATTCCTGTTTATTTGACAGTTAATTAATTATTGAACTAGTGTATGGCAAATTTATTCAGCTTGTAATTTTGAAGGACATTTAAATACACAAATATTGCATGCATTATCCTTAACATATGATTAATTTTTCAGATTTTATTGACAGAAATGTGACTCCACGGATGCCTTGGCACGATGTTCATGCGTGTACATATGGCAGTGCTGCACGTGATATTGCTCGACACTTTATTCAAAGATGGAATGCGACTAAAGTATCTTTCTTTCTTGATGTTTATGTATTGATTGAATTAATTCTATTTAATTCTTTTTTTCATCAGATTAAGATTAGAAATCTTTTTAAAATTTCCGGTATCTATTTGAGACATCTAGCAATTATTTTACAGACAGAAAAGTCGAAACAATTGAAAGAATATCCGTTTTTGTTACCCAAATGTTATGACACCATTAAAGTACCGCGTGTATTAGAAACATACAGTAGTTTGGCTGATGTGCAAATCTTACGCTCAGTTTCAAAATGGTCATCACTTGTTAGCGCTACAGAAGACAGCATTCAACAGGTATCATTAACGGATTTTTTGTTTTTTTTTTCAAAAAAAAACAGAGTGAAGGCTATGCAGTTCTGGTCGTAGTTGTGCAGATTAGTACTTTATTCTCTAGTGTCCGTGAGAAAGTAAAGAACTAAATTAAGCCTGAAACTTGAAAATTAATTCTTTGATGTAATAGGATAATAGATGAGAAAAAGGTCTACAAATTTTAACCATTGTATGAGCTCAGATTAGTGATATTTAGTGAGGGAATCTTTACAATCAATTGCATCTTATAGGCATATGTCTCCCTTATTGCAAACGCTAAACATTATGTTTATATTGAAAATCAATTTTTCATTTCCATTATTGATAGCGCTGATGTGGGAAACGAAATTTGTAAAGTACTTTGTGAACGAATTAAACGAGCGTATCGGTTAGTAATAGAAATTTTTTCAATTATTTTCATTTTTGTGGTTTCAAACTTAAGTTGATTTCAAATCATCCAACTTTCAATTTTCTCAAATGCTTGTTTAGTTAGTTATAATCATGTTTGAAGAACATTTATTTCAGTGAACGGGCGAAGTTTCGGGTATACATAATGCTACCACTGCTTCCCGGTTTTGAAGGTGATATTGGTGCACCAGGTGGCTCAGCACTACAGGCTGTTTTACATTGGACTTATAAATCACTTTCCCGAGGACCAAATTCGTTGATCGAAGGTCTCAAAAGATTTGTGCCTGATCCAATGGAATATATTCATATTGGTTCTTTGCGTACTTACGAAGTGCTGTCTGGAAGATTGGTGAGGATGAAGTTTTCATAAAATGAAGGTTATGCCGTCTATCAGATAACTGATTTGAGTCCCATAAATCCGAAGAGGAAAAAAATCGATTTGAATCGATTTTCTTGGCACTGTGCATAAATGATATGGCTAAAATATATCTGTGCTTCAGTATGATATTGCATCAATTAGCATCCCATCGAATGCTCAAACGATTATTTCATACATTCATTTGTTTTGGGAAACTTTGAAGTACTCCAAAAGAAGTTTGCTGAATTTCCTGAAAATTCAGATCTTGTCGCAGTAAATAAATTTTTCCAGCTAACAGAACTAATTTACATCCACTGCAAATTAATGATTGTGGATGACCGATATGTGATTATTGGGTCAGCGAATATAAACGACCGTTCACAAATTGGTAATCGCGATTCAGAGGTAAGAATCAGTCGTTTTTTAAATCCCTGAAGATTATTGTGGAAAGTTGAAGCACTTTTTATGGTTTTTGTTAGAATAGTATCAATGGCTATAAGGGCAAGAAGATAAATAACTAAAAATGTCTATTAACTTTTTCAACGCTATAAAATAAAAAGATTAAGGTAATATGGCGATAGCGAAATTAATGAAAGAACAATCATTTAACGCATTTGTGCTATGTTCCATCTTGAACAATTTGGATTTAGCTTAGTCTATGGGCAACCATACAAATCTAAAATTTAGGTCATTGAGTTCCTGAAATTTGGGGATAATAAATATTTCATAAGTTATATGAAATGCGTTGTTTATCTAAATGAATTCGACAATATATAATGATTGCGAAATTTCCGCTTACTGATTTTGCTTGTTAATAACGCTTCGTTTTTTCAAAACAGGTTTGCATTCTTGTAAAAGATTGCGAAAATGTGTCATCCCGAATGGACGGAAAACCATACAATGCGGGTAAATTTGCTTTCAGCTTACGGAAGGCACTGATGATGGTTAGTTATTAATTTTGTTGCTTTTTTTATTCTATTAAATAAAGAGAAACCATTCTTTCAATATTATCGCCAATTTTGAAAGGTAATTGAATTTATTTGTTTGATTTTTTTCGAAATTATAGTATATGGGTCATTTATAATTGCTGAAACCAATTCATTTAATTTACCCATTGCTAGGATAGACTGAATCGATTGCTTTTTGGCAGTTATGAATGTTTCAATAGCCATAGATACTGACTGGTCTTAGAGCTCTAGACGGATGATTTTAGCTGATTCATTTCAGAATTTTTTCTCTATATAATCGAAAGATGTATTGTATTGTTCGGTGTTGGCAATAAAATAGGGAATAGTTTAACCATTCACATTACAGCTACCATTCTTTTATTGCTCAGCTTTATTTCATAGCATTTTGAAAGAAATGAATATAAAGGAGCTTATTTAATTCTGTAGGAGCATCTCGGTTTGTTGCCGGAGCAAAAAAGGAAATCGCCGAAACGGAAAATTGATATGGATGATCCCGTTGCTGACTCGTTTTTCGTCGGGACTTGGGGAGCCATCGCAAAAAAGAATACAGAAATATTTGAAAAAGTATGGATTTTGTATTTTGGATAAAATTAAATTATATTGCTGCTTTTATCAAATGTAAGAAGCAATATTTTTAATATTACGGTAACTGTAAGGTTATGCACTACATTAGAATGTTTCAGTCATTCATTCTAAATTAGTTTTTGTTGCGTTTGTTATTTATAATACGTCTTGATTTCGTCTAAAAGATGGTTAATTTTAAAATTTTACAGGTTTTCAATGTTATTCCAACAGATAAGTTGAGAGATTTCGTAGAAGTACAAATGCATATTGCAAAAATACCGCTAAGTGAAACTGTTCCACAAATAGCCGAGGAATATCTTCGAGATTTGATTGGTAATCTTGTGGAATTTCCGTTAAATTTTCTCGCGAATGTCAATCTTGCACCCGGCCTTGCATCTAAGGAAGGTATCGTACCATCGTCGGTTTTTACATGATTGATACAATTTTAGTTTTATTTTAATTCTCATTAGAAGTTGCCGGGAATATATAATTGTATATGTTTTTGATTGAAACACGGATAAGAATAAGCTTAGCTATTGTTTTATGCTTTATCGTTACTTGCGATTATCAAAATTCCTTCTCGTTTTCATGCCTTGTTCGCAGCTTTTTTTTGTGTATTCTTTCATTTTTTATAAAATTTGAGCGCTTTTATATCAAAGTTGTTATTCTTGTGTATTAAGCCTTTGTTCTTAAATTCAAAAGAAATTAGACTCATTAAAATGCTCGTTAAAATGCTGTACTTCTTGACTTTGTATATTTGCGAGTTTGGTGAATTTGCGGCTTTAATGAACTTTGAATTTTCATTTTGTTTGAAATGCCAAAGTGTAATTGCTTCAAGTTTCTTTCAAGTTTCTCTTTTTACTATCGATATCCCTGTGATCTTTTCTTTCGAATTATGCAGTCTTTTTTTGTTCCACTTAAGTCTTATTTTCAAATTTTCTTCTTAGTTGGACCTCAGGTCTCTAAATTTTTTTCATCTGCTATGGATGAAATTTTGTCACGTTGAGTTCTTCAAGGCCTCATTGCTCGAGTATTTGTTTATTTTCATTTATGTTCATTTTGTGGTGTATGTACTTTTTTATTTTGCTTAACTGTTGTTCGTTCGTGTCAACTGTATACAATTTCTATTTTCAATAATTTATTGCGGTTGTTCAATTGTAAGTTATTTAGTTTTTATTATCAATTTGAACCTTGGAAGTATTTTTTATTGGTATTGTTTCATTATTATTTGCATTAGCTTTAATGTATAAAAATAATTTTAATATTTGAATTTTTTTGGCATAGCGTTTTCAGTGAAGTTATTCAGACAGAACTGTTTGTTAAATACTTCCTTTGTTGTAACATTGAATATGTTCGAATTTATTTGTGTTCAAACAAAATTTAGATAGATACTTAGCCAAGAAATTGGTCACATAATTGTTGCACGTTGTCAAAGTGAGCTATTTTGCTTTCTGAAGTGTTAATTTGCAGAATAATTGATAAAAATAGCTTAAAATCGATTTTAATCCACATGCAAACAGATATTCTTAATTCTTGTTATCTAAAACAATAAGCATGGATGTTCCTTCCGATTATTGCTTTGATTTAGCGTATGCGCGAAATTATGAAAATATTTGCATTATGTTAAATTAAAGGACCAGTTGATATTGTTTGTAAGAAGGAAGCTGTTGTGCGGTTTGAAGAGCTATTTTCTTATGTGAAATCACCATAATGGGTTCAACTCCCGAGAGACCGGAAGGTAGGTGATCATTATATTGTCAAGATTTACCAAGTTGAAAAAGATTGTATAATATTGAAAAATTCTGGAAATGAGATTGGTTGCTGAATCCGTGTAAAAATTTTGCATTAGGATCCGAAGACACATTTGAATCTCGTGACTTTATACAAGTCTTGATTATCACTTGCAGTCTACATGTGACGATCAATTCCTGAAGCATTGTGATATATTTAGAAGTCTTTAAATGTCACTCCTTTTAGATTCCTAAATTCTGGGCTTGAATGAATTAATGAAAGAATCAATGATGAGTACTGTTTTCGGTATTTGGATAGTTGTCTTTCGTAGAAGCATAATAACTCTGTTGAGATTCTCAAATGCTATGCTAAGGGAAGTTGCTATAAGTGCCTTAATTATTCCAGGTAATTTGCCGCCACCACCGACAGAATTACCATCATTTTACCTGCATCAAAAGGAAACAGCATTCATCCCACCAGTTCCACCACAACTACATCCAGCATTAGAGTCACCTGAAACAACCCTTTCTTACACCATGACAAATTCCGAAATTCCATCAATTACATTTCCACCTCTTCCTCCTTCTTCCTTTCCTCCTGCGCCCTCTACCCCTATATTACCATCGACGCAGCTCTTAGCATCATCAGCACAGGTAATTCCACCAACTCCATCCGTTTCCCTTACTTCGTCCTCTGCTATTCCTGTTGTGGAACAATCTCCGGTGATAATTTCACCAGAAATTCATACTACTGCCGCAGATATACCGACGACTGTTTGCCAAACAGTATCTTCAACAATATTACCGCAACCGATGGTCGTATCACCTACACAAATTATGATTCCAATGAATGCACAGAAAACGGAACAAACGATATCAGAAATAAATGATGAATCGAAAGGAATAAGTGTATTGCATTGGTTTCAACAAACTGTGCAACAGTCAGAATTCTTATCCAAAATGGCTAATAAAGCCAAGGTTTGTTAGTACTGTTGGAAACAAAATTAAATGTAGTAAAGAAATCAAGCCTGAATTTATTTAAGATTTTATTTAGATCGGATAAATCATAATTAAAAATAACTACTGCAAGATTCGTTATTTATATTGTATAAATGCAATGTTGTGAGCAATTCTATACAAATAGCTAGAAGTAGCACATTCTCTGTGATCACTTTGAATCGTTTCTATTGATTTTATCCAACTATTACTACTTTATGCTGATTTATCTTTGTAATATGATGAAGTGGCATTAAATTGAATAAAATAACGAAATTTTAGATAGGAATGGATTCGGTATTGACGGCACTGGATCCTGGAATGCGAGATTTTCTGAATGGTAGCGATGTGTTGCATGCTGTTGTACTATGCTACGCTAGTAAACAGATTATCGATGCTGTAAAACATGGCCTATGTCAGACATTTAGTGAAATAATATTTAATGAAATACCTGCAGAAGTAGAACTTGCTACTAACATTCAGATTGTTGGATACAATTCAGCTTGGAAGGTAATTTCTAAGTTGTTCCGTCTAGAGACTTTGAAGTTTTGCACCCTATAGAACTTTACACTTAGTTATTATTTATCACTAGGTCAATGCTTTAGTAAAGATTAACTTATGTTAGTGTATTTATAAGGCATTTTATACAGCGTGCTTGTAATTTGTTAATTTTATATTAAGTTTTCGTGCTTTATTTACTTACTTTTTATCTGCTACTTGATTCCCGTTTTCACACTCATAAATTTTTAATTTACTAGAACTACTGAATTTTTATTACTTGTTCTTTTTAAGGATTTTTTAGGATTCTTTTTTTAAGCATATTTTAAGGATTGTTTATCCAATGTTAAAATATCATAAATTGTATTTTCAGAAAGCAAAGGAATGCTTGACTAATCTACGAAACAATAATATTGTTACTCCGGAAACAACACTATTCATTATACAGCCGTTTATATATCAAGTTGATAATTGTTGGTTTGATACTGCTCTAATATTAGCTCAAGTGTGTTACCATTTTTTAATTTCGGTTAGATAAGAATTTTGTTTAGATATGAATTTTCATGTTTTTCCATCTCTGAAGATTTTCTTCGTAAGTTAGAAACAAACTTTTTATAAAGTTTTGTTGGCAGATAAAATAGCCGTATTCAATTTTTATTAGTTCTTATTTTGATGCTAATTCTTTAAAACTTACTTTTCTGCAGCAAATGTTTTATTATAGAAGGGAGACGTTGAAGTCAGTGTATTTATACAAGCAACACAAGTTGATGCTGACATAATTGCTATACTTCAGGTATTGTTGGGATTTTTTAGAACATTTGAATCATTGGTTACATTAGTTCTCCTCTTTTATTAGCTTTGAATATAACATTTGGTATTATAGTGAGATTCCCACTGCTTATAGTAGATAGAGCTAACAAGTTTATTCCATTTCGTATTTTTCGATGTTATGAAAATACATTTTGGTATTGTACCCGAACATTTCTTGCATTTATCAGTGGCAGGAATGAGATGTTTTTGAATCTGCAGCTTTTTTCAATGAGTTTTTCTTCGTCCTTATACGAAAAGAGAAATTAATAGAGTGAAAAGAATTAGCAGAAACATTGAAGCAACTCTTGCTGTTTATTTATTTACTTTTATATAGCTTTGAAAAATAAATTAAATTTTTTTTTTTACAGAAATATACACCAAAAGGATACGCAAGTGATGCATTTGCTACAACAGTTGGTTATGCATATGCGGAAATGTATGGTGGTGATCCGGATGATTGGCAAAGAACTCTTCTTTCATTTTCTTCTACTGAACTCTATCGAGCAGCATCCCTTGCGCTTGGAACAAATTTGAAGCGGATTTTGTCGATGAAGAATTCCTCCAAACCCGCGTTGTAATTTTTGCTAATTGAGCGAAGAATTGAGGCTCTGTTCTAGATAGCTTTTCCAGCATTTTATAATATCAATCGATTTTATCACTCTGATCTACTTTCGCATTTTTGTAATAAAAGAATTATTGATATTATCCTGCTTACAGATAATCCTTAAATTGGAGTTCAAAACTTGACAGGATTCCTGGAATCCATAAAGTCTGGAAATTCACTGTAATAATGAAGTCAAAAATGCTGAATTATAGAATAATTGCCTTATAAAATAGTAACCATCTTTCGACTGCTATAGTTAGATATAATATTGCCCTACAATTTATGTTTTACATTCCTACAAGTGTATAATTTTCATCAAGAAGAAAAATACGGCAAGATGGTGAAATGTGGCTGTTTTTTCCGAAATAAAAGATTACATGATAAAAAGAAATTATCACGTTTTGTACTGGTAAGGAAATGTGCAAAATAACAAATAATCAAAATAAAATGAAATGTGAACCAGCATTTATTTCCGTTTTGCTAGGTTGTTTATTTCATTCGAATTGATACTGATCTAAAGTGAAAACGGTACTAGACGATATATAATCTGGCTAGGAAGTGGAAACACTGCAAACAAATCTCAGGTAATAAAAATAAGTGAGGTTGCATCACAGTTACCTTATTTGCTGCATTCATTTATGAATCGTTTTGGTTTTCAAATTGATATAAAACTAGAAAATAGGATATGCAAATCATATATATCGCAGAAGGTATTATTCATATTTTTTTATTTCCAAATATTATTGTCAAAATGAAAATTATACAATAAATAGAATGATGAACAGTTTTCAACTTAAGATTCTGTTTTAACGAAAAAACTTTGATATCATGAATGAAATTAAAAATATTGATCATTATTATTATTTGTTGATACTGTAAGTATTATTATCATTTGATGATACTGTATATATATTTCAGATATTTTGTGAGGAAAAAAGTTTTCATTTTTTTTTCCCTAAACGTGAATTAATTTGCAATGCAACCATAATTATTATTCCATTTAGTAGAATAGGAAAACCGAAAAGTTTTTATATGCAGTAAACATTCTCACGATCGTATTTAAAACTCAATTTCCCCTTTTATCTTTTCCAATTTCATTCATTGAATTTATTTAAATCTATTGCATTTTTTTTAATGATTCTTGACAGTCTTTCGATTTTTTATGGTACCATTGAATTTGTGAAATTATCGAATAGATTGATTGATTGATTGATTGATTGATTGATGGATGGATCAATTAATTAAGTGGAGTATAATTAAATTTATTTAAATCTATTGCATTTTTCTCTTTTTGATTTTTAGTAGTCTTTCGAATTTTTATGGCACCATTGAATTTGTAAAATTATGGATTAGATTGATTGATTGATGGATTGATTGATTGATTGATTGATGGGTCAATTAATTAAATGGAATATAATTGAATTTATTTGAACCTATTGCATTTTTTTTTGATTTCTGGCAGTCTTTTGAATTTTTATGGTACCATTGAATTTGTAAAATTATCGAATAGATTGATTGATTGATTGATGGATGGATGGATGGATGGATGGATGGATCAAGTAATTAAATGGAATAATTAAATTAAATGAAAATTATTTTACATCATTCTCTTATTATTTTAGATTCATTTCGCTATTTGTTTAATAAATTATTTTAAAATTTTAATGGCAATTTCACTCTTTCATTAAGTCTTTTCTTACAATGCTGCAATTTCTTTTTTGGATAGATTGAGCCAATTTCTGATAAGGTATCATTTATACTATTGATAGTATATATAATATCATATTAAAATTCAATCAGTATCAATCTTATAACAGAATTCAATTGAAATTCTATCAATCGGTATGATGTAAAATCATGTTCATTTTAAGTGGCTTTGAAGCTGTAATGTTATTTGGAAGAATTTATCATGCCATTATTAAATAAACAATGCTTTTATCAGTTTGTTCTGTTTTATCGTTATCGTTATCATCTTCCTTTTCATTCATTCACTTTTTCAAGAATGAGTGCTCGAAATCGACGAGATTTGGAAAATAGAGAATTAGAATCATTAGCACAATGTTTACCACTTGCTGCTGCTATAACATTTCAGCTTGATAAGGTGAGAATTAAAATAATTAATACAAATTGGATGGTATTTATAATATGAAATTATAATATATCGTCGTTGATTTATAATATCTTTTTCCTAGTACTTAATGTAAAATTTTCAAAATACAGATTATTGGAATAATCTCTGTTTGCGAAAATAAGCGTTTAAAAAATAAGGAATAAATTTTATACAAAAAGAAATTGATTAAAATTTAATAATTAAAATTTGAAACTTTAATGAATATGGGAAGGAAAAATTGAAATAAAATCATTTGAACCATTTTTGTTTGAAATTTTACTACTTTATGGGCATCGATCGTACGCTTAACATCGGCATATTTGGCATTGCGAAATGTATTTCCACCACGAGATAGTAGTGAACAGATTGAAACAATGGCAATAGGCTCATTTTTACTTCAAACTTTGGATGGTTTTGTACTTATTCTTGATGCTTCTGGTAAAATGATGTACGTATCAGAAACTGCTTCTGTTCATTTAGGACTTTCACAGGTAATCATGCATATGTAATTAATACTTGAAACAAAGAAAAAATAATAATTAATTAATTAAAACTTGATGTTTTTTAGTATGAAATTTTGTAAAATTACAATCATATATTATCATTTGTAATAAGAAAAAGATAACAGAAAAAATAATTGAATATCGGAAGTAATTCGAATTCGGTTATCATTTTCAACATATTCTCATAATGATTTAGAAGGATATTTATTGTTGCTGATGATTTATAAGCTAATCGAGACTTTTACGCTTACAATAATTGAGACTAATTAAGAATTTCTAGGCTCATTACAATGTATTAAAAAGTATGCGCTTTAGCCTATTTATTATTAATTTGAAATATCGTTGAATCATACGTATTTTCATTGTTTTTATGATTATATTAAGACGTATGATATAAATTAATCTAGTCCTTAAATATTTAAAATTCATGACAATAGTCATTTGGTAAAATATAAAATTAAATTATTACTATTAATTAGAATTTTCAAACTTCAACTATTTCTAATCAGCAAAAAAAAATTTCATTTTTTTTGCAATTTTCAATGTTTTGAAAATCCATTGATTTACCATTCTTTTTTGTTTAAAGGTAGAATTAATTGGTTCATCGATATTTGATTTTCTTCACCGTGATGATGAACCGGAATTACGATATATCCTATCAAATACCGATTTCAACTGTACTACTCAATTTACAACCAACAATAATAATAATAATAATAATCAATCGTACAATGATGAAATTGAGCGCATGTTTTTCATTCGGCTAAAATGTGTTTTACCAAAACGAAATGCTGGAATAATTTATAACGGATATAAGGTTTCTGGAGAACTTTTTTAAAACTAATTAAGGAATTAATTCATTTCATTATCATAATTAATTAACTAAATTGAAATTATAATGTTTCATTAAATTACGTGCAAAATTTACTCATATCTGACTGATTTGAAAATATGAATATATTCCAGAGGAAGTTATCAATTTTGAACTATTTAAATTTTTGAAACAATGCAATTTCATAAATCACCCTAAATTATCAATTAGTTTCTATCGCTCCATAATTATGCTACAATAACCAATCAAAATACAAACATATCATACAATAATTCAATTTATAAAATTTGATACAAATAATTCAGTTTATGAAATTATACAATAATTCAATTTATAAAATTTTGATTCAATCAAATTGAATAAGCAAATATCCATTCATATTTTATCGCTTTTGCAATATTAATTAAAATTGTTTAATTATTTTTCATTAGTGATGCAATAAATAAATAATACCTTTTGCAGACAATTAGTTGTTGGGGTTATTCGAAAATCTGTCATGATGGTGAAAGGATTACAAATATGGGCTTATTAGCTGTTGGATATATGCTTACACGTAGCGGTATTACCGAATTAAAACTTTCTTCTTCGACATTCATGTTTCGAGCTCGTCTTGATTTAAATATTATTTTTGTTGATTCAAGGTTAAAAAATTAATCTTGTTGAATTGACAATGTTGTAAAGAATTTTTTTCAAACTTCATGGCATTTTTATAAGTCGGAATCTTAAGTCAGCAGCTAAATTCACTTATCTAAATTTAAAACTTTAAATTTATTTTTGTTCTTTTCTTTATTTCAAGAGTAACAGCACTCACTGGTTTCGGTGCTTCTTCTCTTCTCGACACATCCTTATATCAAATGGTACTTCTGGAAGACGCGTATACTATCGAGAAGGCTCATAAGATTCGTATGCATCAAATTTGAATTCAAGTTATATTTTAGTTCTGGGACACTATAATTCGAATCATCTGATTGATCTCATAGATAATTAGTATTTTTCGAAGATCCATACGTGCAATTACTCGATGCACTTATTTGCAAGAATTACCAAAAGTAGCTTCTCATCTAATACTATTTGATGTAATTTATTATCTCTAAAAAAGATTCTAGTGATATGCAGGGATCATCCACTGATACCAGTTTAAAAATACTTGAAAGTAAATAAAAGTAAACCTGTTAGCATAACTGTTATAAAAATATTTGCTAAATATGCCAAATTTCCAGTATTACACAAGAATCAATCAACAACAGGATACTATCGATTGTTACACCGTATACGGGGATACGTTTGGGCCCAAAGTCAATTTTGCATAGTACCAATGTTGCGCGCAACTGTTACACACTGCATCGTAGCTGTAACCGAAATTTTTAGGTAATTATTTCGCTATTTTATTACACTTCCTTTAGCATAAGAAATAAATCCATTCGTTATTTCAATAGTCTATCCAACACAAGATCTGTAGAAAGATGAAAGGAAAGGAAAGGATTTTGTCCGTTTTCTTTATATACAGAAATAAAGTAATGTTTCTCCTACTGCTTCGTTGACAAGATGCATACATGTACTTCGAAAGAAGTTATCTTGTTGGTATTAGTATGTTCATCCAATCAAAATCGCTTTCTGGACTGTTAATTGCAGCAAAAGAGAGGGCGACATGACATTGGCGATCATTCAGCTTGATGCTGAAGAAGATGTTCCAGAAAGTACACTTGGAGAATACTCAAATCTTTTTTATAAAGGCGCACCAGCTTCAGCTCCCCTTTATTTGGATTACAACGCGCATATGTTACCAGATAAATAAGAAGCTGAGAAAAAATTAAATGAAGCCAACAATCACTGTGGTACAACTTCTGATAGAAAAACACGCAACCAATCAAAACGATTAAAAAATGATCGATTTGAGATCATCGACCAATCTAAGCCATTAGGCTTGTATAATTTATAAAATAATGAGATATTCCGGTCACTAAAAATCCTGAATTACAACAAAGTGGTAACTGAACCATTTTGTAAGATTTAAGAAAATGATTGAGACATTTCGGTTACCAAAAATCTGCATTAAAATTAATTAATTGACAGTAATAATTAGAAAGACTTCTTTGGTCAGTAATACCGCAGCGAAATGTAAAGAAACACAAATATGCAGTTCAATCATGTACAGCAGCACATACAACATATACAGTACGGAGGTCAGTTGTAGCACAATGAAGTACACAGAAAACATCAAAGAGGTCAATTATGCTACAGTGGGACATAGAAAATATACATTATAGAGGTCAGTTATAGCACTGCGAAATGTACAAAAAACATGGAAGTGAGCGTCGCAGTGCATTCAGTATGTGTGAGATACTGCAGATGTAAAATATGACTGACCTTCAAATGGAGGACATTAAGTTAAAATGGGTGAAATTCCAAAATTAAGTGTGTAATTAATGTTAGAATCTTCTAATCTCTTAAACTGAGTGATAAAATCAAAAAGAAATCATACATTACAAACCATAACAAACAGTTGGTTAAAATAGAGTTTAAAATGAAAAACAACACACAACAGCTGAGTTGTCCCAAATATGAACAATTACAACTCTGCCACTCCAAATTTGGAAAGGAATTCGGAAATTTCTGCAATCTGCCTATTGTTAATATGTTATTAAAATAGAATGTATTTTAAATTACGACATAACGTATATCTGCAGAGTAGTTTTACATAAATATAATGTTTCATTTAAGATTTCATAAAACATACAACTACACCCAACCAAACAAGTGAAACTCCGGTTCTCAGATTCTGTCAAATTCGAATATTACTTCGCCTCAGAATCGTCTACAGTATCTCCGCCATCAATTACTTCATAATCAGATGCTGAAACAGATCCGATGCTCGTTAATTCTTCCAATTCTCGAGTATCCTAAAATTTAGAAAGTCTAAACTCTCCTGGTTCATGAATGGCCTGAAACTTAAGACTTTTGAACAAAACTTACTTGTCCAAATTTATATAACTTGCATATTTGTCCAACTAAACACACTCAAATTAAGGAAGCAGATCTTTTTACTGAAAACTTTCCCATATTGAGGTTTTTATTTAGAAAGACCCAACCGAGGACACTAGAATTAAAACTAGAATAGAAAAAAAACACCATACATCGACATTTTGTTTCCCATCCCTGACTGCGGCGTAATATGACAACGAATCCAACTCCTGCGATACGTTTAAATTTATTAAAAATATTTTTGTTGTTTGCAGATATTATTTAAAAATAACGTGGAATAGCGCGCAATGGCTAAATGGATTAATCTGCATGGGTCATCAAAACCTGGTCATCTTTAATGGCCGTCAAGTTTTGATTTACAGTATCAATAGCTGAATCGATATGAAAGTGATATTTTGGATCGACACTTGCTCGATACCTAATTCCGGAATGAAGTTGGGTGTATATATAACCAATAAAAGTAGCAGTAGTCAAACAAAACATACATTAGGAAATACGGGCCTTTCGATAGCGAAATTTTCATCAGTGAATGGATTCACAAAGATTTCAAAGACCAGCCTTGGTCCTTCAGCAATTGAACCTTTACCATTCTCAATCATTTTATGAAGCCGCCAAGTTGCACAGAAATATCCCGTTGAAGCCGAGCATTTCACCCACACAGTGAAATCAACAATTTGGCCTTTTTCTGGCAAATTCGTTACAATCATCTTTGAACGATATATTTCTAGCATATCAGATATCGTTTCATTAATTACCTGAAGTTTGAGCTAACATGAAAATGTGCACAAATAAATGTGACAAGTCTGAATTGTTATCTAATTGATAACTTAAAAAAGAAAAAACTAAAGACTAAGACCGCTGCACAAGCTTCAACTCCCATATAGTACCAATTTTTCTTTTTAATTTCGAAACTCATTGATGGGAAATGATTACAGATCTCAATAAATCAGCAGTCTATTTCTGGGAAGAGGCCACAGCTTAGAATAAAGCTGGAAAGCATTTTTGGAATTTTTAATAGTTTTTGCTCTCATTACAAACCGTTTATTAAGCACCGAAAAAATCAAGTCAAAGATGACTCTTGGAAAGAAAATACTAACTAATTCAGGTATAAAAACCGAGATCAAAATCAAAAATATTTCATCATACTTTCCATTCATATTCTCTAAAAGCTTTTAAAAAATTGAAAAAAAAATAAATTAAATATCGAAAAATCACTGCTTACACGCTATTCCCCTAGTGATGAGAATGTGATCAAACTTATTCCATGAATACCAACCGTTAGTACACACTGATAACAAACTCTACTACTACAATCAATACGAAGTACTAAGCTTCAAATTACCAGAAGCAGAAAATTACCGAAACATTTTCCCATCTTCTGCAAGCAAATCGACGAAAAACCCATCGTTTAGAGAAAATTCCTTCTCCTTCACGTACAGTTTTCACAAGATCAGACGAACTCTGGAATATCTGAAAATTAAAACATAAGATTAACTTCTCTAATAACAAATACACACAAGCAAGTATCATTAGTAATCAATTAAAATTTGTTAATGTTATGGGTAAATAGGAACCAAATCTTTTTCATTGATTCCTCTAAATCTACTTCTCCAATCTCCCACACGACACTTGTTAAAATTATTGAACTTACTGGATTTTCCCATTTTGTTAAAGGCATTGTCTTCCTTTCGTAAATTGCCTTCACATCCCAAACTGGACTTTCGTCAATTAACTGAAACACGGCGGTACCATCTTCAGATATTACCTTCGACGAACTTTGACTTTCAAGTGATGTTGATGACGACGAACCACCAGCAGCGTCAAATACCGTTGAAAATGCTAAAATTTGATAGGAATTTATTCATACGAAGGTTGGATATTCCAATGTTTAACCTTATGTTCGTTGTATATTACCACCCCGGAAAAAACATATGAGCCATACTCAACATGATTGACATAATGGAAGTTTCAATGGTAAATGGAAAAAAAAATGGAAAATAACCATACTTTGAGTAGATTTTTGTTCACTGCAACTCGCTCCATATGCTTTTTGCTCAAGTTCGTTCAAGAATTTAGCCAGTTTATGGATTACCGGATGTTTGACAATTTGTTTATTCACTTCCTGCTTAACCTCTTTCACAACCTATAAGAAAATAGAAAGAAGTTGGCTGTCAACAATATCCAAATTATTTCAATAGAACTACTAAGATTATCATTATATCTTAGAGCAACAGCAGATTGTAAAATAGAGATCAATCACTACATTGTTCTATTCACAAGAGGACCACTCTTGTCTAGAATCGAAGTTTATTGAACATCGGGAAGAATATCATGTTTCATGATTTGACGCTTTCTTAAATCACTGTTATTTTCGTAACGTGTCAGATTTGCAAGAATATGCACGATGAAACATTATTATTAATACAAAAAAGTATTAAGCAAAGTTACCCGATCCATTAAAACATCCTCCAGATCTTTCATCGCGTAAGGATGACATAAAGAGTTAGCTCGTGCCTGCAAAATTTACCGTATAGTTTATCAAACTTTAAAGAACGGGAAATCAAATGGAATATTTCCCAGATAATCATAACCAAACAACTCTATCTCCGAACAGTCCATTTCAAGAATCACAATATGAGAAAATGAATAATAGTAGCATAAAAGAACTAACAACCATAGACGCTTTAGTGTCTTGCTTTTTCGGCAGTCCAAATTTGTAGACACCATCAATATGAACCACGAATAATTTCTGTGGCGTCTGCATTACATCATCGAAAGCAACCTGAAGCCAATCAAGGACGATTAAATCACAATATTTAAAACACATTATTTTCGGATTTCAAAATGCTATTATTTTTAAAATTCCAAGCCTAAATTTAAAATTCCAAACCTATAGTTACTTGCTCATCGTTGCATTGTTCTGAGTGAGTGCTGTTGACTGAAATGTGGTAGGCTAATTTCCAGAAAATTTAAAAAGCCACAAAAGTAATACTGCTGCCATTCGTTAAACAGCTAATGCCACGCAGTGTAAATCAATCGTTTGATTAAAGAGTTCTTAAAATGTCACGACTTGTATAAAGAACGTTTTCATGAGTTTCCACCACTAACCCTATACTTACTATACAATAGACAGAAGCATAAATTGCTTTTGAAAGTACCTCAAAAGCTTCTCGTGTTTCTAAAAGAATCATATCTCCTTCAAAGTCGCGATATTTTGGAGGACTATCCATTGTGAAATTATAGCTTATGAATTCCATTATCGCACTAACTACGCATTCTCGGCTGTATCGCTTGAAAGGTACCAAAATTGGTTCAGGTGGTTGTATGATGCTATGTTCGTTTCGATATTTTTCTATGACCAAATGCATATCTCCTGAGCTTGTGAGTTTCTGAAAATCAATCGAAACTTTTGAATGATTTTGAAAGATGTAGAATTACGAATTCATGATATCGGCAACGATCGACGAATTACGCAACAATATGTTACTGAAATTACGCATACTAAGAAAATCCAGGTTTGACTACAGAAACTTTATTTCATTGGATACCTATTCAGTGAAATACATCCATATGTAAAGTCTACGAATGAAGCCGTTCGCTAGAATGAAACCACAACAACATTAAACCATCTGTTTAAATCTATTCGTTTGTTCATCTGCTAATAAGCAAAGCAACATAAAGTAAAAAATGTATTAAGAATGATAAAAGAGATAAAGTTGGTCCCAATAAGAGAAATTTGAAAGTTATCACTAATAATTGATCAGCTGCCGGAGAAATAAAACCATCATAAGCACAACACATGCACAAATAACCAATCTCTGACTAGCTTTTTACACTAGCAATTGGTAATACCATTGACAGTATTGAAGGACAGAACATTTACTTCCAAATTAGATGATAACACAACAGTATATGTAGACCGAAACTGAAGATCGGAACCATTTCTGGTCAACGAGAATTAAAAGATGAAATGAAATGGTTTGATTGAAACACCAGCAGCGTTATAAGCGCCCTTCCCGTTCAAATATACGGGGTGGAAAGTTTCTTCATGTTACAACCACGCTGTACATTTAATCTTTTTAATACGGCACTTATCCTAGTTTCGATATTGCTGCTACTGATATTAATGAACAATGAATTCTCATAATATTTAAGAAATATTAATATGTTCATTTTTATATGTCGTATATTACTTCTTCCCAAATAAATAACTTTTCCTAGATAATAAATCCTAACTACGCATTAGTGATTCCAATATTACTTTTCCATCATTAAAGATAAATGCACTGAAAAATATGATGTACCCTAACCTGCGTGGACAATTTCCACATATTTCGCCCTATTTTTATTTTTACATTTTTTCCATGCAAGAACGAAATAGACAATGAATTAATTCCGTGCTGGAGAAGCAAACATAAGAAATAAACAGAAAAACAATCCATCTCTGAAAAAACTAAAGATGTACCACCACACAGAAACCCTATGTATGACACATAACATAAAAGCACGTAACTTACCATACCTACCTATATTCATTTCGCCACTTCCTGTAATACGAAAACTGTAATACATCAATTCATTGCTCGACATATGAATAGGTATTCATCTGTTTCAAAATACAAGAGTAATACTGGAGTTAAACCACTAACAGATAAAAGTGATGCGTGCAATATTTTAAATTAATTTTAATAACACGGTAAAGGAATCCTTGAGGGGAAAAAGGAAACGAAGAGGAATACCATTTTTTTCAATTCTACGTCCTGGGGGACCGTACTTGCACCATCAAAGGATTTCAGTAGCAATTTGTTCGTGCTCGAAAATTAGCGACTGCGAGACAATTCTCAAAAATAAAGAAATATAAAGCAGACATCAATTTATAAACCGCTTAAATCTCATCTATAAATTATAGCTACTAACGACTGAACGTGTCGTTTTTAGTTTTTTTTTACTAAAACGAAAAAGTTTCAATTCAGGATACTTATGTCAAGCCGATAAGAATAACAATCTTAGCGACGCTGCAAAACCTATTTATATGTTAAATAAAGCAATTCAAATTTAAAAAAATAACGAGAATCAAGCAATCAAGAAAGGGCAGTTCCAAATTCAAAAAAACTCGTGTAAGAGATTTTCTGCACTTATATTTCACTCTGATAAATTAATCGATCTTTCAGCACAATTTTTTTACATTTTATGGTAATGAATTGTTCTTTCTCTATTCTAACGAAAACAAACATCCGTAACAAAGAGGATATTGCTATCAAGATTTAGCTGGAAAGAAAATATCAAAAATCATATGAAACATAAAACAAATAGCGTGTATATTACATCAACTTCAAATAATGAAAAAAAAAAAACCAAAAACATTCTCCGTAATAAATTAATCGAACGTAAATAACCGAGAGGAGATTTCAGCACATAACCAATCAATTGCTTCAAGAAGATTTTCGCCAGTAAATGCACTACATCCATATATATTCCAATGATGTGACTTTAAGTTGTGTAAACCCAACAACTGTAACTTCAAATGATATTGAACTAACGAAAATAATATCAAATTCAAAGCTAAACTATAAAAATTAAGTTACAAAATATGCTTTATTAGATTAATTTTTGCAAAATTAATTACACTAAGCTTAAGAAAACGAGGTCTTCGATACACTTAATCCTTTGATCAGTGGAATCATGGTGATTTCGAGACATTCTAGTGGTTCTCATATGTTGACAACGAAATCATAAACAAGTTTCATACGGAGAAAAATGAAAGACCTGTTCAATTTCTTTTGAGCTTGCACTAGATGATAAATCTTGTTTGTTCGCAAGAACTAAGAGCGATGCTCCGGCTAATCTTTCTTCCACCTTAAAATTCTTTAAATTAAAAAAAAAAATTTTCAGGAAAATGTGTTTTTGCCAGCTTACATGGGATGCATAACAAATGTGGAAATAACTAAATCTAAACTTGTGTTCGAAGGATTTTTATTTACACGCTGAATGTACTCCTAATTACAATTAGGAGTACATTCAGTGTGTAAATAAATTCAAAACTATTACGCCATTATTACTGAAATTCTTGTTTCATCTAAAAGATAGTAGAAGTATAGATGAGGACTTCACAATATTTTACTCGAAAAATGATTATGAATGGCTTGAAATCGCACCAGTAATGAACCAAGTTCACGTTTACAATCATCCATTCTATCAATGTCAGCTGAATCAACAACCCATATAACACCATCCGTCTGTTCGAAATAATTTCGCCAATATGACCGTAAACTTCTTTGTCCACCAACATCCCACATGTTCAATTTCATATCTTTGTATTCTAGTGTTTTGATATTGAAACCTGTAAAAACAAATATCATGCAATGTCAAAATATGTAAATCTTTCTGCATTCGCATAACAACATATTGGTCCATGTCAGCGGTGATAGGGGATTCGATAATCTTTATGCAGTGGTGTTGGCTTTAGTGTTTCCTCTATAGTGTTAATGTTATTATCGCGAAACAGATTTTTTCTTCCCAAAGGCAACATTGAAAGGCAACATGACTGATCATATATCTATGATACTCTTAAAAATATGGATATACCAAAAGTTGGTGCAACTTCGTTGATCTCTTCACCGTTCAGCTTCTTCAGTATAGTAGTTTTTCCACCGTTATCTAGACCAAGAACTAATATTCGTAGTTCTTTCTCCTTTAAACGTTGCTTCTTCAAAATTGTAAGCAAACCCATTTCACGCAATCGAATTCCACTGTTGTACCAGTGTCCTGAAAGATATAATTTATAGCGGATGTTTATTCCCCATGTTAATCAAAAACATTGGATAACTGCTAAAAACATGTCGACTAAGCAAATTAAGCATCCGTCTACGTTTACCTCTTCTTTTTCCTCACATTCCAAATTATAAAATCTCTAAAGCATAGCATTGATAGTTGAAAAAATGCTTCATTTTCTCCTATACAATTATAATTTCTCAAGTAAATATTGTTGGAAACTTCTCATCAAAATCGTATAAAAGAACGCCATTGTATGCTTTATTCAAATGACAATCACCATAATTAATACAACAAAAACAAAAATCATAGGATTTTAAATCCATTCAACTCCAAATAATACAACTGCTGAATAATATCGTTAATTGTTTGGTCTGAAATGAAAAAAAACGGTTTAGCAAACTTAATTTTATTGGAAATATTATTTAACTAAAAGTCACTTCATTTTCTTTTTTTCATTTTTTCTTCATTATCTTAGCGATGAGGTTGACAGGACATTATTATAGCGGAAGAAATTCCTCATAACGGTAAACGTTGCAAAAATAAATATTCTGATAAAAAAAAACTTGTTTTTAAGATTGATCAGTATTTTAAGGTTTCATATAATTTCTTCACCAATTTTTAGTAATACCAGATGACAACAGAACTGATATGACTGGTCAAATTACAAACTTATTTCATGTTATATGAATATATGAATTCATGTTATATGAGTTATATGAATAATACAAACAAACCTTGTCCATTCAACTTTCAACACGAGGTGATCCATCTTATATCCATTTAATTTCTGTATCGCGGCTTCTGTTTGGCTGCGATGTTCAAATGTAACAAAAGCGAATCCTTTCGGTTTATTCGTATGTTTATCCTTCGCAATAAAAACTCGGTTTACAGTACCCACAGTACCGAACAAACCACGAAGTTCCTAGAATTACTAATTATTCCTTTTTGAAATTCCTTATTTTCACTTGACTTCCGATATCGAATGCCAACTTCAATAATCTCAAACTAAAAACAGCAATAAAAATAAAAGCAACAATTTCAAACTTGCAGATTACATGCATTACACGTAAAAACTTCAAATCGAATCCTTTCGGTTTATTCGTATATTTATTAATATTAGTATCTTACAAACCAAATATGGAAAGTAAGTTGGTTCAAACTTCCGAAAATGAACCAACCATTTCATCACACTCTTCCGGCAAATTTGTAACTCTGCATGTATTTTCCTCGGACCTCCTTTCTGCACCACCTGTAATCGCTGGACGATCACCACGCATCCCCGGTGCCACGTACTTCCCTGATCCCGGCATTGTTGGACCAAGTTTCGTATCTTTCTCCTTACCTTCCAGGTCCTCCTCATCATCTTTCGCATACATTGATTTGTATGGACAACTTACGGACCAATGCTCGTCCGACTAAAGCCAATTTCAAAATGTGAATTAATGATAAACATCAACCAGCTAGATCACGACCAAACTACAGAAAATTTGCCAAATGTGCATTTAATGCACCCCTACTCTATGTTTAATTTCTAAATTTTTTTTAGAATCAGAAAAATTGCAATGACTCCAATCCTTCCAGATGTTCTGACTCTAAATTTCATCTTATTCATAGAATTTAAAACAACCAACTTTGCAATAACGACAATGAGTGAATGACCCTCCAGCTGTCGCTGTAACCTTAGTTCCCTCATCACCAATATCGAGTTGTTGCTAAAATATGCTTGCTGCACTTTCAGCGATTTGAAATTTAAAAAATAAAATGCAAAAAAAAAAACATCAGAGACTACTTACTTCACCAGCACGATTCCTAATGAATTGCATAAGGACTTCTTCAGCGACATATGTTGTAGACACATGCGGTCCAGGACCATCATTCTTACACTGTCCGAATTTCTTCCATTTCTTCCGCTCTGCTATCGGTCTTGACACCTTTTTCGTCACAACTTTAAACGTTGTTACAACCTGTCATATCCACATAAATAGCACAAAAACCAAAAATTATTTGAAATTTGCAGCATTTACGCTTTGGCTTAGCTTATAGAACTTACACAAATTTGAAATTCCTCACCTTACTTTTAATTTTCTCATTTTACAATCTCTTTCTCTTGATGGTGATTCTTCTATTCATTAATAATACTATTCACCATTACATTTCTAAAGAAAACAAATCACAGATACTAAATCATGATTGTCGTCAATTTTACTGACCTTATATTTGCCAGTATCATCAGATATAACATCGGTAACAATTTTAATGCCATCTTTTGTTGATTCATGAGCTCCACCCAAAGCTAAAAGAGTTACATAGCAAAAAAACTTCAAATAAGGAAAACAGATCTGAAATATTTTCTCTATATTAAGTACAATTCATCTTCCTTATTACCTATCAAGTCTCATGATTACACAATAATCCTATTAAAGACATTCAATAATACCATTAAAGACAAAACTATTAAGTATATATTTTAATTCCATAGCTCTCATAAAAAAGTTCCAAAAGAATCAGGATAACTTACTCTCCTGCTCGACTGCTTCAGCCCAACTACCAATAGCAGAAATAGAACTTCTGCAATAAATAAGCCGCAATTATATGAATAATGACAATAAAATTAAAACTGCAATACCAAAAGGAAAGTACTTCCACATTCACAATTAACTCCAAAAATTTCCATTGCTATTTCCACTACAACCAACTATCACGAAACGAGCACTTTCAACTACGTTATACATATATACATAGTCAATCACAGCTAGCCAATTATATCGCAAACACCGTACAAACATAATTAAAATGTCATATAACTTACAGATTAGGAAGTGGAGGTGCAGTACTTGCTGTTGTTACAGACATTTTTCTAAACCTGAAATAGATGACGACGTAGCTAATTGAGATCCCATGAGCAAAAATTGGCAAACTCTAAGAAACGTGACTTGGAACAGCGGAGACGTACTAGCCACTATTCTCCTGCCAATTTCGTATCCTTCCCCGTCAGTCGCTTCAGTAATTAAATAATTATATAGAAATGAAAATGATTAGTCAATTTTTTTTAATGGTTATTGTTACTGACAGCAAAACCACATTTGAAATAATTTATTTATAGCATATGTCTGAATTATTCACTGAATAATTCACAAATTGTAATAAATCGATGACACTCAATCATTTATACTTCATTTCTTATAAAACTGCTATTTTTCAATCGAGTACACTTATCATTTCATGTAACTATCGCTCACTCATGTACATCATATCATCTCCCATAAATGATATACGTTAACAAGCGTGTATATAAGCCACCTAGAGCAAACCACCCACGTCCCCACATACCCGCACTGACAAAATGAAACCAAAAGATGACGGCTGTACAAAACCATCTGCATCAGAGTAATATAAATGATTCTGACTGATTATGTAACAAACCAGTCTCTATGTGAATAGACGAGAAGTGGTGTGTCTATTTTTTTTATCAAGTGAGAATTAGAAAGAGATGTGATTGTGAAATATGCAAATATTTGCTACTAGTATTATGCTGATTACTTCATTACAAAAAAAAGGATAAAGTTAAAGATGTTAAAATTTATGATACAGGGGAACAAATCAAAGAACTTTAATGATAAGACATAAATAGCAATATGATAATGAAATTATATATTTGATTAATTATGCTAATAGCTATGAAATTGATATTCTAGCAAATATTTCATTAAATTTTATAAAATTCGTCATTGGTACTTTGAAATATTTGATAAAAGTTGATGAATAGTAATTAGGTAATATTTTGCTAAATGTTGTTAACATGTAGATAACTATTTTCGAAATGTTTCATTTATGTTTTCTCAAAGTGTCAGATGTCAATTTCGATCATTTTACTTTACTTTGACTTATATGGATTGAATGAAATAAATAATGAATAATTGTGGAACAGAACGATTATAAAATTATTATTCTAAATCATTAGTAGGAAATTATTTCATTCGTTGAAATATCAATAAAGCATAAGCAGAAAATTTTCAGTAGATTAAAGCAAACAAATTGACAGGTATGAAAAAGGTAAGACAAACGGTTTCTTTGCATTGATGCAATGAAGCAATAAAAAAAAGGAACAAACTGTTACTTTTGCTGCGATGAATGTCAAATGACAAAATAACTGATCGATTGCATGACCTTGAGGTCATTCTAATTTGAATATGCTGCAATGAATGGGTAAATACTTATGAACAATATATATGATAATCCTCTCTATAATTTTAGATCTCTCTTAAGCAACAATGTATCTCTTCACTATTGTACGACGAGCCTATTGTAATTTGAATGGTACTTATCTGGTCAGCCCATATTATGATTACTATTATTAAAACAAAATTTACTCTTTGATAGTAAATTTAGCACAAAAAAAACTAGTATCTATTCTTGTTGAAAGAAATGAACTTCACTGTGAAAGAAATAAACTTCACTGCAAAAAATAATTTACAAGATTGGTGAATGGTATACAATTGAATTGCATGATCCCAGGGTCATTCGTATAGGACATACTAAATGGACGATATATTTATAATTAGCATTTACCTAAGTCGTGGAATATATAAGTGAGTTATAAGATAGCCTTGAAGTTGCTCATTATGATATAACCAATGAATGGTTATCAATAAATAGTATTTACCTAATTGTTGCATAACTTTGAGGTTTCTCACGCAGGAAATAGCCAATAGATGGACATAAATAGAAGATATTTATTTAATTTGTTATACACTTGTAAATTTAAGAAACGAAAGAAATTTTAGGATCATAAAATTAACATTTAATTGAAGGGAAAGGAGCGGATGAACTGCATTTTGGAAAGCAATTTTGTAGGAATGTTGAATGATGTGCAACTAATTACTTGACCTCGGGGTCACTCCCAGATGGGTATAAAAGATTAGCAAATGACATTTGAGTAAATTGGGTAACGTATGA